CTCCACTATATCTTTACATAGAGACTAGTTATTTGCTTTTTTATTTATTTTTCAGATCTCATATAATATATCCTTTAATATTTAATTTAAGAGCATTGCTGTGTGTTTTATGGACCTGAGTGAGATCTGCTGTGAGAATTAAATAAGAAATGTAGAAAATGTCTGCTGTGTAAGTTGTAAAGGGCTTGTTGTCCTCCTTCCACCAAAGATACCACCCGGCCGAAGAGAGACTACGAGGTGGACGGGCGAGACTACCACTTTGTGATGTCCAGAGAGCAGATGGAGAAGGACATCCAAGAGCACAAGTTCATTGAGGCGGGACAGTACAATGATAATCTGTATGGAACAAGTGTCCAGTCTGTAAAATATGTGGCTGAAAGGGTGAGACTCTTTACTTGTTTCTAAAAGCTATATGTTAGATGCACCACAGACAAGTAACAGAAAAGCTATAATGTCGTAGATGTTGTTTTGGATATATTTACACCATATGACATTTATTTTAATTTGCATAGTGAAGCTTTATATCATAACCTGAGGTACATCTCTTGTAATTTCATGCCTGTCTCAGGGTAAACACTGCATTCTGGATGTGTCTGGAAATGCCATCAAACGACTACAAGTAGCACAACTCTATCCCATCGCCATCTTCATAAAACCTAAGTCTATTGATTCATTAATGTGAGTATTAATTTAGTTTTTTATTACAGTACTTACTTTTTCAATTCTATAATGTTCCACTGGCCTGTATGTTTACTGTATATTAACAATCGCCTAAATTGTCCTTGTACCTACATAAAAACTACATTATAGCTTGCTTATAAATGTTAAAGTGTTTGGTTCACAGTTCTCATAAGCTGAAATAAAACTAAAGACAGAATCATGTTTATGTGATGCTTTGTGTGTTTTGTGTGCAGGGACATGAATAAGAGACTGACAGAGGAGCAAGCCAAGAAGACATTTGACAGGGCTTTGAAGCTGGAGCAGGAGTTTGGTGAATTCTTCACAGGTATGATGTTCATAAAAGCACAAAGCAAAAGAATCCTCTCTGTCTCTCACTGCAGTATACAAGCACACTAACTGATTAAACACACACTGCTGATTAAAAGGCTCTCCTTCCAGCCTACCACAGTACAGAAGGACCGCATGCACAGGGTCTGAAATGATCAGGATTCATGGAGAGACATTTTTTTTTAGCCCAATCCAGACTTACTGGACTAATGATGAACTAACTTCTGCAGTTATAAAATGAACAACGTTGTGTTGATGTGATGATGTGTCAGTTCTGTAAGATAGTAAACAGTAGGACATGGGAGCATTTTAACTTACAATGACTGTAATAATGGATATTATTTAATCTAACTTTTAATCTATGGATTTTTTTGTTTAGATTGCATGTGTAAAAAATTACATTTTTATACATTTGTTTTATATTAGTGGTGGGATCCTGCATTTCTTAACTCAAACGAAGGGGTCCACAGGTTCTTTTTTTACTCTACCATAAGAAGTCATAAAATCCTATACATGGGGGCTTTAAAGTGGAAATGTTGAGGATTATATTTTCAATAAATATCTGTTAAGCCACTATGAACAAATTAGGTAACAGGGAACTGGGGGACTGTCAGAAGCCTGTTAGCTCCCCCCTGTGGTGCTTCTCAACCAACTCAGAAAATGTTTGAGCATATTTTCGATTCACCATAATTTTTGTAAAATGGCCAATATTCAAAATCTCGCTTCTAATGTTCTCAGAAGTGAATTTAGAGGTGAAATAGCATACCAAAATAGTAAAAAACTGAATAGAAACCCCGTCGGGTCGTCCACTAATCGGAATGGTGTTGGTTCGATCCCCGGCTCCTCCTGCCGCATGTTGAAGTATCCTTGAGCAAGATACTGGACTGTGTGTGAATGTGTATGAATGAGTTAATTTCTGTTTGATAGCCTTCACCATCACTGAGTGAATGTGTGTGAAAGGGTGAATGTAGCACGTAGTGTAAAAGCGCTTTGAGTGGTCGGAAGACTAGAAAGGTGCTATACAAGCACAGCTCCATTTACCATTTACCAGTCAGAAAAAACGCAATGCATTATGGGGCGGTTGAGTATGTGCAGTAAGCTCACGCAGCATGCTCAGAAATTCAAGCTAACCTAATATACATCCGGGCATTTCTTGCATACACAAAATTAACATACTGTGCAGTTGGAACACATTATATACTCAATTTGACACCATACTTAGTATGAATAGTATAGTGTATACTATGTGAAAATAGTTATAGTGTATAGAATGTGTAAAATGTAGTTAATAACTGGACTATATATATATATAAATTTATTCTGGCCATTCAAATTAAATGAATGCAAAAACCATGAATGACGTACATTTAGTGTGACGTCATGGACAGACTTTCTCTCAGCACCCCCAACTCTGACTGACTTCAAGTGCCAGTTTGTAATACTGCAAATATATAAATACTACAATACTTTCATCAGTGGGCCACAGGCTCATTCACCAATAGATAGTGACTTAACAGATATTTATTTAAATTAAAATCTTTCAGATTGCCACTTTTTACATTTGACAGCTGTGAGGCTTCCTGATTCAAAAGTTGCATGTGTGACTGTCATGATTTAAATGTGATGTCTCAGTGTTCCATAGTACATAAAGAGTTCCCTTTGCTTTGCAGCCCTGGTTCAAGGAGACACCTTAGAGGACATTTATAACTACTGCAAACAGGTCATAGAGGAACATTCAGGACCCTATATCTGGATCCCCTCAAAGGAGAAACTATAATAACTCATCATCCTGGAAGGGAGTCTGGACTGCTAGAAACTAGTAATAAGTTGTAACATATGATAACTGTGTGGCGATGATTAGACTTCATAAATAACTATTGTGAATATATTTTGTTTTTTTTATCTTATTTTCTCGTATGTTTGGTTATTGCTTAATTTTTTTCACTCAACATGAATGTTCCTGAATGTATACCACAAAGTGTTAGGAAATTTTAGGTCTTGAGACATAAATCGTTTGTATATTTGTTGATTTTTAATTTGAACAAAGAGAAAACAAAATGTAATGAAAACTGAATAAATATGGGGTGTGTGTGTCCACATCAGTGCTGCGCTGAATCGCAGACAGTAAACTGTATTTGGCATACACAGAGTTCTCTGCTCCTCTTACATAGGAAGGAAAGTAGGTATTCCAGCTGCGACACCATTCCCCTCCCCCTCCCCTCACCCTGCGGCAAATAATCATATGAGGTTTGATGTTTTGTCTGATTTTGCATCCCCTGAACACAGCTTCACTTTGTGTTTGTTTACATTGTCGTTTCTTCCTTGAATTGCTGTAATTATTTCTCTGACATTGAGGATGTGTGAGGAACATGTATTATTCACTGTAAGATTTCCATGTGTTTTTTTTATTTTAAAGCAGACATTGCTCATCCAGCTGTTGCATTGACAATGATGAGAAAAAGAGAGAAAGCTGCTATCGGCAACAGAGATGTAACACTATATTTTGCTACTTAAACTGCTAGAGGGCACAAAAGCACAGAATTATTTATTATTGAAAATATAACTTTGATTAAAAGGTCATTTACAGAGCATATTTTATGTGAGTGATGTAGTATGTTGTGACTGTGTTAGGGTGGATGGTGAAAGAGACATTTGATGTTTGTATTTTGTAGACTTGGAGTGGAGGCAGTGGTCTAAGTAGTGATTAAATTTATACTGAACACACATTTCTGTCTTTTGAAACTAATAGTAGGGACAGTGAAGAATAGAAATAAAAAATAAAAGACCAATACTTTTTGAAAGTATAAAATATACCTTGTAGAATATGAAAGTAAAGTGAATGCAGAAATTGCACAAAATGCAGTTCAGTTAAACATTATGGAGTCGTTAAGGATTTAAACAAAAGGTGAGTTTTCCTACTTTACCTTGAAAAGAATACTGATTCAGATGGCTTGTTCTCCTCAGACAGGCTGTTCCAGTCCTAATGAGAAAGGTTTGATGATAATGATTGGATTTATAGCTTGTGGCCATAGGCTGCAGCAGAGGAATAGTAAAACAATGGAAATTTTGTACTAAAAAGACCATGAAAGATGCCCAGTCGATATGTCTAACTCAGACTGCGGGATTTTGTCCTCCATCATTTACACTGAAAGTTCATTAAGACAGGATCTCTTAATGTCCGGTATGAACAGGAGGAACAGCAAGAAGAACCTGTTTCATATAGGCACCTGACAAGAGAGACAGACTTGAAAAAATGTCTAATTGTTAGATATGAAAATGTAAAAACATAAACATACTGATTATGGACACAATGTACAGTGTTAGTCATTGGTGAGCCTAAAACACTTATATTGACTCTCAGGTGGATCTCCTGCTCCTTGTTCAAACAGAATGCTGTTTTAAAGGTCCAGTGTGT